TTCAGAGGCATAGACAGTGATAAAACCTCAACTTGTCTAGTGAAAGGACTCAGAGGTGTGAATTGAAGTAGGAACTAAATTCTCTATTCATTTCATTAGCTCAACCTCAAGGAGCTGAGATATTCTTATTCTCTTTTTATTCAATGTCAGGTTAGGTTACAGATATTTGGTTCATTTTTATTACTGAAAACTACTTATTCCACCTGGTCTTTTGCACTCCCTCAGGCTAAATGTGAAATGCAGTATTTCTAACTTCTAAGTGTTTTTCAACAATCCTCCACACACACCTCCCTTTTCATTTTCAAGGATTTTATTGCTGTCTTTTCTTAAAAACACTAGTCATTAAAGGAGAGACAGAAATAAATCTTAGGGAAGTCAAAACAGTTCAACAAGGGGGATTGCTCAGGACTCCCTTTTTATTTTCAGGGTCATTTTGTATTTGTAGGAGTCGGGGTTCATTACCACTCTACGCTCACTGCTCTACACAAACTACAGATATCCTGATGACTTTAATTGCAAGGAATAAATAACTAGGAAGCTAGTCACACTTCAGAGGGATTTAAATGAACAAGTACATGTAAGGCACTATATAAAACAGTTCCTGTATTCCCTTCGGCTACATTCTAATTACCATGGGAGCAGAGACAGTGGAGTACAGACACATACACAGAGCCATATGGTGCAGTTAAGATTGGGGGTCTGTGTAATACAGCATAAAGTATGATCGTGGAAAGAGTACTGTATATCTGCTTTTGCAAATCTGGAAATGGATGATAAGTTAAGTCTTGTATTTTTTAAACACCTTACTTTAGGCTTGATCAGGGAGAACACCTCTACATTTTTGCTCTCCCAAAAGAGGTAAACACACTGGGAATTAAGTCTAGATCAGCGGTTCTCAACCTGTGGGTCGCGACCCCTTTGGCGGTCGAACTACCCTTTCACAGGGGTCGCCTAATGTGCATATCAGATATTTACATTACGATTCATAACAGTAGCAACATTACAGTTATGAAGTAGCAACGAAAATAATTTTATGGTTGGGTCACAACATGAGGAACTGTACTTAAAGGGCCAGAAGGTTGAGAACCACTGGTCTAGATAGACAAGTATCAGGTCAACAGGCCTTGTTAAGGAAACTGAAGGAGGACAGACAGTCTTAAAAGCAATCTGGGAGCATGCCTATGCCTTTCCTTTCTCTCCCATTACCTCTATAACTTGTTTGCTAAGCCCATTTATTTTAAGAATTACCTTTTCTACCTCTAATTTACCCAATAAATGTTCTCTTAAAAAAAAAAAAAAAGGCACCAGAGAGCCATTGAAGAATTTTAATAAGGACAGCTAAGTTCCAGAAAGATGACTTTGGATGCATTGTGGAGACTAGATTGAAAAGGGAGGAAAGAGATGGGGAGACCAGTTAAGGAAGCTGGTGTGGTAAGTCCAGCCAAGCAGAGATGGTGACTTGAATTTAGGTATGTAGTACCTAAGTGGAGAATGGATTAAGTGGATTGGCTTGGAGATTTTTAAGGGTTTGATGACTAATTGGATTCAGAGAGTGAGAGAAGAATTTTTTAAAAAATATATTTTTATTGATTTCAGAGAGGAAGGGAAAAGGAGAGAGAATCAACCATGATGAGAATCATGGATCAGCTGCCTCCTGCACGCCCCCTACTGGGGATCGAGCCCACAACCTGGGCATGTGTCCTGACTGGGAATCGAACTCTTACCACCTGGCTCAACCACTGAGGCACCCAGGCTGGGCAAGAGAAGAATTTAAAATGAGTAATTTCTGGTTTAGGCTATTGGGAAGCTGGCAAAGCCAACCATTTAAATTCTGGTAATTCAAAGGGTGAACCAAAAGGCTATTTCTAAGGAGGGAGATGATGGTAGCCTGAATAAGAGATTAAGAATAAGGGGATGGATTTGAGAGAAATTTAGTAAGTAAAATCAATTACACCCAAGTTTCTGGCTTAAATTCTGTATGGATGATCACTGTGGTAGATTGTTTAATAGGCATAAATTACTTTTATCCTGCATGTACCCTTCTTTGCAATGTGACTATGTCACTCCTTGCATGTAGAGATGGAGTCTATTTCCCCACCCTTGAAATCTAGATGGGTCTTGTGATTTGCTTTGACAAATATGGTGACGTGAAGTGACTTCCAAGGCTCGGCTTTAAGGCGCATTGCAGCTTTTGCTCTTTAGGAGTGCTGCCCTGAGACCACCAGGAAAAGAGGTGGTCTGGCCTACTGGAGGATGAGAGGCGACATGGAGGAGAACCAAGTGGCCTCAGCTGACCGTAAGCTAAAAATGAAGCCATCTCAGACCTTTCAGTCCAGCTGACCTACGAGCACAGACAGCTGCATAAATGAGGCCAGAGGCAATCAACAAAGGAACTGCTCAGAATCATGAGAAATCGTTAAGTTTTGGGATGATTATACAGCCATAGATAATGAAACAGTCAGAGATAGGAAAATCAAGAGAAGGCAACTTGCAATGTTATTCCTTTTTATTTCTGCATGATGGTGAACTCAAATCACCCAACATTTGCAAAAAAAAAAAAAAAAAAAAAGTCTTGAGTAGAAAGTTTAGAGAGGGGTCCGTCCAGTAATTTCTAAGGCACCAAAACCTGAATAATGAGTACTGTAATGCTAACTACAAAAGGAAAGAATTCCCTCTACCTATGGTTGTAAAAGCAAACAGGCAGGATCCTCAAACTCCTATAATAAAAGAAAAAAAGCAGAGGAATTAGGCCTTCGATTGGCCCTAATTCCCCCAAACCCTGGACAAATCAGTTAACTCAGATCTCCCAGGAAAGTGGTTCTCAACCTTGGCTGCCCATTAGAATCATCTGGGAATCTTTTTAAAATCCTGATTTCTGGGCCTCATCCTCCAGAAATTGTTTCTTTGTTATTAATGTTGTGGCCCCACCCCATAACAAAGAAACAGAATTTCCGGAGGATGAGGCCCAGAAATCGGGATTTTAAAAAGATTCCCAGGTGATTCTAATGTGCAGCCAAGGTTGAGAACCACTGTCTAGGACCGAGAAAACCCAGCAGGATCGTAAGAATACCTGAAGAATTAAGCTGATAAAAGAAACATGTGATCGCAGCACAGCGCCTACTAAAAAAGTTTTACTCGCACAGCAAAACACGGATTGCAAACTTTTTAGGAGGAATTAACCAATATTAAGTTGTTCGTGGTGAATAGGAAAATAAGTAAAAACTAGCCTTTCCTCAAAGATTAAGAACGCATCTGCTCTGTTGAAGAAAAATGAAGTAAAAAAACCCCACAAAACCACAAAAATACCTTGGGTAATACTACCCGCTTTTAAACGAGATGAAGACTATCATTTTAGAAAATGCATTTAAAAAAATAAGTTATGCTTTAGTATAGAGTAGCTGCTTTTATTGCAACAACGTTGTTTAAAACCACACACACACACACACACACACACACACACACACACCTGAAGTGCATCCAGGTACGTGCATGTCAGAGAACGGAGATAAAGGCTGTCTATGAATTAAGAGAACACTAACAGTTGAGAGAAAGAAGTAAATAGAAAGTGCACCCTGTATCCAAAGACTTGCGGGCTTTTCTCTAAAATCTGGGAACCTTGTCATAAAGAACGGTTTTATTTCCTCCCGTTAAAAAGCAATTTTCATCGCTTTCCAAGATTCATCGCCTTTCTCGCCGCTGGTGTGATTTACAGAGTGTTTTTAGCAGGAACTCTGCAAGAGGAGATAAATACCCGAGATAGTCTGAAGCCAGGAGAAAGAACCGTTAGGAACCCCGAGCCAGGAAGGATAAGCATCAAACGAGGAAACAGCCACGTCGCACTCCGGCCGCAGCAGTGGCCAAGGAAACCCAGTCCTCCCACCCTTTGCAAGTGTGGCTCCCAAAGCTGACCCGTCCTCCTCAGCGCAGCCCTCCCACTCGCTAGGGGGCTGCCGCCGAGGGGATCTCCACTCACCGCTTGCAGCACAGTCGCCAACAGCAACCTCAGCCCAAACGCCGGCCCAAGCCCTCCGCTTGGTCCAGCCGCCATCGCTACCGCCTCCCTCGGTCTCCGGCTGCCCAAAGGTCCCCTCAGCCAGGGGAGTCCACTCCAGAGCCTGACGTAAAACAGGCTGCTTAAGAGCGGTTGCCATCAAATCTGTCAGTCTGCAGAGAGGGATTACCCAAGGGCATACGGAAGCTTAAAGTTGATCGAATATCTTTACATTTGATATACATATAAAATCGTGGGTCCTTTCGATAAACCCATATCAGGCACTTTCCTAAACTCCCCAAATCTGTGCTTCTAAGGGTTCCTTCCTTTCATTCACGACATTGCCCTATCAGCCAAGAAGCTCCGCCCTCGTCAGTTTCGGCCAGCCTCCTTCTCCAACTCTACCAAATCGAATGCCGTTTTGCCTGACGCCTATCGCAAAGGAAACCAACTGTAACACGAACCGAGAGCGAAGCGCTGGGGTTCTGCGGTCCAATAAGCTCCACCGAGCGGGAGCAGGGGGTGGAGCCTCTGGTTGCCAAGCAGCGTACGTGTGTGCGTGCGCCTGGTGGCGGCGGGGGATGGGCAGGGGGCGGGGCCGGGGGCGGCGCAGCCGCAGCCGCAGCGCTGGCGGAGGAGCGCGCGGCCGCGAGCAAAGGAGGGAGGGAAGGAAGGAAGGGAGCAAGGCAGGCAGGCAGGCAGGCGCGGAGGTCGGTGACTGAGGCAGTAGAGGGAGGTGAGAGCCCGGCAGCCGCTTCGCGCTGTGTTGCAGCGCGGGCTTTTGGAGGGGGCAGCCGTCGAGTCGTCCGAGGAGAAGCGGGCACCGGCGGCGTTGGTGCTGGCGCCTGGGGGCGGGGGACTGGGAGGCAGAGAGGGGGGTCGCTGCGGTGGTGCTCTCGCTGTCGCGCTCTCCTTGCCTTTCTGCCGGCTCGGTGGGCTCCTCCCGGCGTCTTCCTCGCCTCCGGGGCTGCGCTCCCCGCCCCCCGCGGTATGTCTTGATCCCGAGCGGCGGGTTTCATGGGGCTCCTCAGGATTATGATGCCGCCCAAGTTGCAGCTGCTGGCGGTGGTGGCCTTCGCGGTGGCGATGCTCTTCTTGGAGAACCAGATCCAGAAACTGGAGGAGTCCCGATCGAAGCTAGGTGAGGAGCGGAGCCACTCCGGGCTGCGTGCGTGGTGTGGGAGGGGGGCCGGGACGGGAAGGCTTTGCAACCCGAGCTGGCGGGCGTTCGCCTAACCTGGGGTCTGGCTTGGCGGCTAGAGGCTGAAAAAGGTTGCAGGGAGAGAGCGAGAGCTGGGGACATGGAGAGCACAAGCTCCAGGAATAGTGTGCATCAAGCTTGAGTGCTTTGCTGGGCTCTCGAGGTCACGGGACAGAGGTTGCGAGGTCGGGCTTCCTAGAGCCAGAACGTTACCCCGAAGTAGGCATCCCGCGGGGAGAGAGCAAGACACATCCGAACTCGGTGGGGACTGAAACGCGCAGCCCGTGTGCTCTCTTAGCAGCCGTTCCGAAAGCCCGGGCAATGTCAGGGGAGGGGGTAACTCTAATTTGAGAATGTGGGCACCTGCATACAGAATCTTGAGGTACACCTGGGGCTAGATGCGCAGAAATGGAGGGAGATACCGGGCATGATGGTGAGGAACGGAAATGCTCTGTAGTGAGTTGCACTCCTGTGCTGGGGGCAGCAAGGGACCACACAACTGACGGGAGAAAGCAGCTGGCCAGGTAGGACAGGAAAGCAAAGAAAACGCTTCAACGAGATACCGAGACGAGGCATCCTGGCTCTTGATTTTTCTCAGTGTCCAACTGATTAATATTTTGGGCTTAAGATAGGAATATGTATCTGTCCATTGCCTCGCGGCAATGTTTATGACTTTAGAGGAGGGGACGCCGAATTATTGAGATTTAAGTTTATGAAGGGAAAAGCGGGATTATGCAAAAAAGTGAACCATATGGTTAAGTACCTTAAGGAGCTAACAGTGCTCACTTTAATGGGTGAGGAGGTCTGAAGTACAAAAAGTTGGGTAGTGAAGTGAAAGACCAGAAAAATGCACAGATTTAATAAGTACTTTCAGAGTAGAAGGGAACTTTGGCATTTGGGAGGAGCACGGAATGGGCAGGGGGTGTTCAAAGAATGCAAGCGATCCATTTTGATTTAAAAATGTACTTGGCACTTAAAAATCAGCTTAAGAGGCCATACTTTGAATATGGAAAAGTAATATGAAGTGTTTTTATGCATACATTTTCACCTCAGTGTTGCTTTAAATACTTTTTGAGAAGCAAGCAATAAAATACCAGCAGCAGTATAATTTAGACGTAGAAGTCATAGCTAGATGCTGCTGTGGGTGATGATTAGTATTTGAGACAAATGTATCAGAAAATAATTGTAATATTTCCAATAGTAGCTGAACGATTTGTTGTTTTGGTAGAATTTGCAAAAAGCCTTTGGAGATATTATAAAGAGCAGTCTATCAAAAAACATCAAATCCAGTTGAAGTGCAACTGAAGATGAAGAGGAGCTAAGGATAATTCCAGCCCTCAACTCGAGGGTAAAACTTACCCTTTACAGTTTTGAAGAGCTATCAGATTTATTTACTGTGATTTTATTAATGCATGATGGAAAAATATTCACTTTAAGTATTGAAGGTTGGTCAATACACTTTTTCTTTTGTTTGGATCCATTTAGCAGCATCCAGAATCATATTCTGGCCTCATTAATGATCCAGCTTTACAGAAAAAAAAATGACTTAGAGAAATTTGACACGTTAAAATTAAACTCTGTACTTATTCTTTGTTGAATGGCTATATTCTTGGACACATTATGGTGGGTTAGGATAACTTCAAATTTTTATTTTCTTTCCTTGCCTAACATTTTTTCATGATACCTGAAAGTGGTTTTCGTAGACACAACCTGAATGATTTTAAAAAGAGAGTTATCTGAAGATGTAGAGAGCCACAGCCAGAAAATAATGTGGTGGGTTGTTTTGTGTGTGTGTGTGTGTGTGTGTGTGTGTGTGTGTGTGTGTGTGTTTTACAAGAAAGAAAATTTTAGTCTGGCCAGCATGGCTCAGTGGTTGAATGTCAACTTATGAACCAGGAGGTCACAGTTCGTTCCCTGTCAGGGCACATGCCCGGGTTGTGGGCTTGATTCCTAGTGTGGGTGTGCAGGAGGCAGCTGATCAGTGTTTCTCTCTCATCATCGATGTTTCTATCTCACGCTCTCTTCCTCTCTGAAATCAATAAAATATAATTTTAAAAAAGAGAAAATTTAAATTCTAATAAATATGGATCATATGAAATCATTCTAAAAAAATGAGCCAAGAAATACAAGACACTTGAATTTATACTCTAGAGATGCCAAATTATGGCAAATAAAATATATTACTTTACTAGAGGCCCGGTGAATGAAATTTGTGCAGGAGGAGGGGGGAGCGGGGGTGGGGTGGGCGGTGTGGTTTCTCAGGCCGGCCTGTGCCCTTTTGCAGCCCGGGACCCCTTAGGGGATGTCTGAATGAGGCCAGCTGTCGGACATCCTTAGCACTGTCGCAGAGGTGGGAGAGGCTCCTGCCACCACCGCTGCGCCCTCCAGCCATGAGCCCGGCTTCTGGCTGAGCGGCACTCCCCTGTGTGTGCACACTGACCACCAGGGGGCAGCTTCTGCATTGAGCGTCTGCCCCCTGGTGGTCAGTGCACGTCATAGCAACCAGTCATTCCACCGATCAATTTGCATATTAGCCTTTTATTATATAGGATATGATTTAAAACGTCTTATAAAAGGCAGTACTAAAACAGATGTTACCAGTTAGTAATCTTCTTTAGGAAAGAAAAGCAGAAGAAGGCATAGCTTGACAACCAGACACAGTGCTAGGCACTTAAATATGTGATAATTTTATTTAATCTTTCAAGAACACTATAGAAAGCCATTTTTACAAATGCAGGAACAGTCTGAAAGATTATATAACCTGACCACATAGCTAGTAAGTATTAGAACCAGTGTTGGAACACAGGTTACATCTGATTTCAAATCAAGTGTGTTCCTTTAATTATACCAGGCTGCTTGGGACTTTATATTAACATCATACTAAGATTTAGCAGTTTGAATAGAATTTTTAAACTGTAATATCATGTTAATTGCATTTATTGTGAAGAATGAATATCATTTTGAGAAAATCCAATTTCTGACACAAAGGAATTGGTTTAGTGTAATGTCTGGCTCTTGTTTATATCTCTATAATGAACATAATTATATTACCCAATGAAGCAACTGAAATAGCTTATTTTTGCTACAGAAAAAAAAATGTGGTGGTTTTCTGTAAGTGTAAAATCACAATATTAAAAAGCATTCTTATTTTGGCATTAGAAAAACTATTAAACATTTTTGCTCTTAAAAGTAGTTTTTATTATTTATCTTTTCTGTTGTGTTGTAAAAGATTCCAAAGGATTGTGTTGTCTGGTAGTGCTTTATGTACCTTGATTTAAGGGTATTTTGATGGCGAAACCCTAATAGAGCAGTAAATATGCTCAAAACTTAGGTGTATTCATTGACTACTTGGGAAATTAACTATATAAACAGGAATTCATTAAGAAAAACAGTATCACATAATATAAGGTTGTTGTTTTTTTAATGAATATGAGATTATGGTATACATGTTACTCTGTACTTTGCTTTTTTTCAGTTAATACCATAGACAGCTTTCCAGGTCCATACATATAAGTTTGACGTACTCATTCTAATAACTGTATAATATTGCATAGTTTGCATTTATCGTAAATTATTATGCCATTTTGCCAATAATGACCATTAAGCCCCAGCTTATTTTTGCTTTTTTATAATTTCTTTTCTTTGGTATTATAAACAATGTTACAAGAAACATCTTTATACCCTAGTATGTCCATTTAACTCCTTGTGTGTTGATGTCATTTTCACTAGGATAAATTCTCCTATCTATGGGATTGCTGGGACAAAGGATATATGCATTTTATAATATAAGAGATTTTAAAATTTATTTTCCAAAAAACTAGTTTTCCAAAAGTTTATAGTAATCTACATTGCTAAAACACGCTCACAAACACTGAATACTGTAAGTGTTTAATTTTTGCCAGTCTGAAGCTGTGAAATATGTTGTTCCATTAATTTACATTTCCTCAACTTCTAATTAGGTTAAACATTGTTTAGTTGTTAGTTCATTTTCATTTGTCTATTGGGTAGTTTATCTTACCAATATTTAGGTTTTTGTTTTAAGTATTATAATTAGTAATCTTTTTATCTGTCATATGTTTTACATCTGTTTTTTCCAAGTCTGTCATGTGCCCTTTGACTTAATGGTGCATTTTGCTTATACAGAAATTATAACAATTACACAGTCAAATATATTATGTTAGGCAAGTAGGTTTCTTATTCTTGTTTAAGAAGACTTCCCCCAATCGAGATTATGTACATTCTCTATATTTTGTTACTGTATTTCATAATTTTTATTTTTTTACATTTAACTCATTAAAGCATTCATATGTTTATAGAGATTTCTTTGTAATAGCTCTCAATGAATAGTCACTTATGGCAAATATTATGTTAATAATCCATTTTTCTCATTGTATGTTATAGTTATTTATATACTAGAGGCCCGGTGCACAAAAATTTGTGCACTTGGGGGAAAGGGGGAGTCCCTCAGCCCGGCCTGTGCCCTCTCGCAGTCTGGAACCCCTCGGGAGATAACGACCTGCTGGCTTAGGCCTGCTCCCGGGTGGCAGAGGGCAGGCCCAATCCCTAGGTGCAGCCCCCTGGTCGGGCTCAGAGCAGGGCTGATTGGGGAGTTGGGGCGCCGCCCCCTGTCATGCACAGAGCAGGGCGGATCGGGAGGTTGCGATGCCACGCTCAGTCATGCTCAGGGTAGGGCCGGTTGGGGGGTTGGGGCACCGCCCCCTGTCACACTCAAGGCAGGGTCGATGGGGAGGTTGCGGCGCCACCCCCATCATGCACAGAGCAGGGCCCATCAGGGGGTTGAGGAGCTCCCCCTGTCACTCACAGAGTAGGGCCGATAGGGGAGTTGGGGCACTGCCCCCTGTCACACACAGAGCAGGGCGGATCAGGGGTTTGGGGCGCCGCCCTCTATCACCCACAGAGCAGGGCCGATCAGGGTGTTGGGGCGCCACCACTGTCACACTCAGGGCAGGGCCGATGGGGAGGTTATGGCTCTACCCCATCACACACAGAGCAGGGCCCGTGGGGGGCGGGGGTTTGGGGCGCCGCACCCTGTCACACACAGAGCTGCAGGGCGATCAGGGGGTTGGGGAGCTCCCCCCTATCAGGCACAGAGCAGGTCTGATCAGGGGGTTGGGGCGCCTTCCCCTGTCAAGAACAGAGCAGGGCAGATAGGGAGGTTGTGGCCCCGCCCCCTGTCACACACAGAGCCTCAGGGCGATCAGGGGGTTTGGGCGCTGCCCCCTGTCACGCTGATCCCAGTGCTGGGAGGCCTCGCGGCTCCGCTGATCCCGGTGCTGGGAGGCATATTACCCTTTTACTATATAGGATAGAGGCCTGGTGCATGGGTGGGGGCCGGCTGGTTTGCCTTGAAGGGTGTCCTGGATCAGGGTGGGGGTCCCCACTGAGGTGCCTGGCCAGCCTGGGTGAGGAGCTGAGGGCTGTTTTCAGGCTGGCGGGTGCCTGAAGCTCCCAACCGCTCCTTTTTTTCTTTTTTTTTTATTCTGGGCCAGCTTTAGCTCTGGCTCCAGCTCTGAGGCCTCTGCTGCTGAAAGCAGGTATCTGGTTTGTTTGGGTTCTATAATTGAAACACTGTATCAACTCCAGCTCTGAGATCCCAGCGGGCTGAAAGCAGGTTTCTGGGGTTTTGTTTAGCTTCTATATTTGTAACAATGTTTCAAACTGCAAGCTCAGAGGCCAGCAAGGCAGGCGGGGAACGTTGGTTTCCTCCGTCACTGAAGCCAGCAAGCCTCATGTTCGCTTCAAGCTGCTGGCTGCCGGCCACCATCTTGCTGGCAGTTAATTTGCATATCACCCTGATTAGCCATTGGGAAGGGTAGCGGACATACAGCTAATTACCGTGTTTCTCTTTTATTAGATAGGATTATGTTTTTGTATGTTCTTGGATCAGTTTTGGACTCCATCTTTTTCCACTAGTCAGTATTATTCAAATGTTAGGGACCTATTGGTAGGTTTCATGGCATTCATGAATTTCCTGAAATTATATGCATAGCTTTCATCAGATTTGCAAAGAAGTATGAGATCCTGTTAATGGTAAGAATCACTGATTTGTAATAGATAGTTCATATTTAATGGAGTGTGTTTTTTGTTTGTTTATAACAGTAACATATCACAACATGAAGCTTCTGAGTTACATTTTGGATATAAGCATATAAGTTAAGAAAAAATTTCTTTGGGTGTTACACTGAAAAAAACTTCAGGTTATTAAAATGTATATTTAATTTTCCTAATGAGATATGGAAGATGACATGGAGTCCAAATGAAAAGTTACATAGTTTACTAGTTACTTAGTTGTTTACTTAGAACTGTGTGTGTCAGAATTTGTTGCTTTATTTCCTACAAAGGAGCCCTTTCTGAATCTCAAGAACATACCTGTTGCTAATGCTGACTGTGGAACAGTGCAATGAAACTTTGTTACCTAAATGTTAGAATTATATGCTTGATAATTTTTATTTTCTATAGGGTCTAAGAATTTAAGATAATATTTGTTGTTCATATGCTTAAAATGCCACTACATAAGTTTGTAAATGTTTTAGGGCATAATATTTTCCATAAGGGGCAGTAATTCAGAATGGATTATGTAGTCATTTTTATTGGTGAAATTTGTAACTCACTGTTCTTAAGAACTGCTAAATTAATGAACTAATAATTCCAGGGCCAAGATTAGACTGCTCTTTGGAATTGGGTAGTTTTTACAAGTGCCTGAAACCATACAACACCTTTAAAATGTTCCCAAGAATGCTAGATTTCTCTACTTTTGAAATTGTTTGAAAACCTCACAGTAGTGACTGTTTAGAGGACTTTGGATAATTGGAATGCAGTTATTCTAGAATTGCTCATTGGTGCCTCACTTATGAGTCTTGGATAGAATTTCTAGTGCTTTGAAGTAGTCACCTGAAATAGTGATCTCAATTAAGGTAACCCCAGGATGCCTTTCTACCACTCTGCTGAGCCTTCCAATAGCTTTTTGGCACTTAGTGAAGTTGAAATAATAATGAATATTCAAACACACCTCTCCAGAAAGACTACTTTTGAGGGATGTCCTTATAGATGGACTTTAATAATGGTTCACTGTAGCCTAATTATTTACAATTACCTATCCACTTACTTATAACAGCATTTATATACTCTGCCTTTCTGTCTGTTAACTATAGATTAAATGCTTATTGGGCCACTTGTGCATCTGGTCCTGTTCCCTCACCTACTTAAGGAAATGGTTCCAGAAGTTTTCCCTCATTCTCCTATAATAATAATCTCTCTTTCTGCTGGATTCTTCTTCTTCTTCTTCTTCTTTTTTTTTTATAAGATTAGAGGCAGTAAGAACTCTTTTTTAAAAAAAATATTTTATTGATTTTTTACAGAGAGGAAGGGAGAGGGATAGAGAGTTAGAAACATCGATGAGAGAGAAACATCGATCAGCCGCCTCCCACAAACTCCTCACTGGGGATGTGCCCCCAACCAAGGTACATGCCCTTGACTGGAATCGAACCTGGGACCTTTCAGTCCGCAGGCCGATGCTCTATCCACTGAGCCAAACCCGTTAGGGCATGGATTATTCTTATTAGCATATGAATATGCTATTATTTCTCCCAACCATAAAACATAACAATACTTTCTCTTGACCAATGGAGCAGTTTAGTTTTTGGTCTTTATTGTACTGGACCTGTGAGCAGAAATTGATAACTTCCTCTTTTTTGATAAACTTTCTTTACTTGACTTCTAAGATTTTATACTCTTGGTTTTCTTCCCATTTCACTGGTCACTACTTTGTCTTCTGTGTTAGATTCTTCTTTTCTCCTCAAGTTCCTAAAAGAATATACCAGAGCTCAGTTCTTGGAACTCCTCTCTATTTACTCTCCCTTTGTTGGTGATTTATATGCTGACGACTTCCAAATATATATATATTTCTAATTCAGACCAATTTCCTGAACATTAGATTGATGTTATTTGGCTGCCCTCTTGAAATTTTATTTGAGTAATTGGTAGACTTCTCAAGCTCAATATCTAAAATGGATCTTCTGATCTCTGTCCACTGCCTTGCCTCATCTAATCCTAACCCATTTTATCTCTGACCTCTATCTTCACTCATCGTTAGAGTTTTACTTGACTTTCCTTTTTCTCACACTCTGTTTCTACTGTCAGAAAAATCTTGTTAGCCTTACCTTCAAAATATTTCTAGACTGTGACTACTACTCAACATTTTCACTGTTACCACCCTAATAATTCAAAATACTCATCATTTCTTCCCTGGATTACTGTTTTAACTAGTTTTTCTCCTTCCACACTTGCTTCCCTATAAACTATTCTTAATATAACAGTTTGAGTAATCCTTTTTAAATGTAAATCAAATCCTGTTAATCTTTTGCATAAAATCCTTAGAAGCTTCCTGAATCAGAGTTACCCTAGCTGCTTTTTAAAACAAAGTCCGCAATTTTATTGGCTAACCACAATAAATAACTTTTTCATTCTCCTTGCTGTATTAGGTGATCATTTTGGGATGATTTTCCTCTGCATGGGTGACTCAGGGTCTTTGGGTACCTTCTGTATGCAGTTCTGCCATCCCCTCAGACTTCAGAGTTCTCTGCCGTCACCCAGAGAAGAAACAAGACAGGGTGAAGGGTGAGCAAGTCCCCTTTTCTAAACTTCTTTGGTTTTTTTATCCTCAGTTTATTAACATGGACCAATCACCATCTACATGCAAGGATGGAGGCTGGGAAATGGGGTTTTTAGCTGACAGTCATTTACCAGTTAAAATTGGATACTATGGAAAGGGGAAGCATATACATATTTGAATTTCCTGAATCCTTTTGAATAAATATATTATAAAAGATAGGCTTATTTTATGACTCAGAATATAAACTGTCGGTAAATGTTCTGTGAGAATGTGAAAAATGTATATTCTCTTGTTATTGGGGGGAGTATGCGGTAAATGTCAATAAGGTCCTGTTGGTTGGGAAAATTGTTTTGGTTCTGTCTGCCTACTTGTTCCTTCAATTATAGAGAGAACGGTTTTGAAGTCTCTGGTGATAATAGTGGATTTATCTATTTCTCTTGAAGTTCCGTTATTCTTTGCTTCATGTATTTTGAAGTACTGTGCATGAACTTTTAGGAACGGCATGTCTTCTTGATTAATTCATCCCTTTTTCATTATGAGACCTTCTTCTTCCTTGGTAATATTCTTTGCTCTGAAACTTGGTCTGATACTAACATAGCCATTTTTGACTAGCATCAGCATAGGGTATCTTATCTCATTTTTAAAATATTAACTTGTTTGTTTAAAGTAGATTTCTTGTAGGCAGTATGTATTCAGAGCTTACATTTAATTTTACAATCTCCCTTGGAAATAGGAGTACTTAGAACATTTTCTTTTTTGAATGTAAGCAGAGTTTATTGGAGCTGTGAAGTTACAGTGTATACACAAAACTAGATTTCAGAAACACTTTACAGTTATTCTCTACATTTTCATTTGTTCACACAACAGTTCCTTGCTGTTGAAGCAAAATGAAGAAAAAAAAAGAGATAAAATAAAGTGAGAAAAATCTCCCTCCTATTCAAGGCATAGACGAATTTTAAAAAGATTGGTGCTAATTTCACTGATTGTTGTACAAAATTGTACATAAATTACAGGAAGAAAATAAAGCAAAGTCACAGTTCATCCTTCATCTCATACAAGTATTTAATGTAATTATTGATATGGATAGGTTTATATCTGAGGTTTTTAAAAATATATTTTTATTGATTTCAGAGAGAAAGGGAGAGTGTGAGAGAGAAACATCAATGATGAGAGAGAGTCATTGATCTGCTGCCTCCTGCACGCCCCACACTGGGGATTGAGCCCTCAACTCTGGCATGTACCCTGACCGGAAATCTAACCATGACCTCCTGGTTCATAGGTCGATGCTCAACCACTGAGCCACGCTGGCAGATTTTATATATGTATTTATATATATATATTATACTTGCACTGCGTTTAAGATTGTCACTAGGTTTTAAGTAATTTAATTACATTGGGCCTTGCTGTAGTTTTTTTCATGTCCCTTGTGCTTTGGGTTGGTCGAATTTCTTGGACTTGTGGTTTTATAGTTTTCATTAACTTTGGAATATTTTGGTAATTTTTCCTCTCCTTTGGGAACTCAATTTCTAAGGTATAATATAAAGGAACAATATCTTAAGTATTCAATGATAAGAAATGTAATATTTTGAATATAGGGAGGAATGTTGGAGCTTTGAGTTAATTGAGTTGTTGGATTAAAATAAAATCAGTAAAATCCTCCTTCAACCTTGTAATTGACTGTTGGTTAATGTTCAGTCCATGTCAAGCTGAAACTAGTTTAGCCATCAGTTTTGACACAGATGCTTGATCTACTATGACTAAGAAATCTGTGATTATTTTGTATTTGGAGTTAGGAAGCTGCCTCTAATTGCCAGTCTTTAAAAATATTTCACCACAGTTTTATTGCTTTTTAACAAAACACACCCATCTCTTTAATAAAATGTTCCATGTTCCTGGTGTGTTATGTACTGCTAACAAAAAACCAGCTTAGCTCAGTTGATTCCTTCATAGAAGAGCTGATTAGAAAGACTGCTAAACATGATCTTAAGGTATATTTTGATAGACAGTTTCTTTGTTTTGTTAAATAGGATAGAATGAAAAGCATTCACTTTTGTCCTCTAGAATAAATTTATCTTCCCTTCATTTTTTGAAGGTTAAAAAAAAAAAAAGCAGACAAACTTCTGATGATATTTTAGTGTCTCAAAATAGGTTTCTCAATGAGGAGAAATAGGGCTGTGTGTGATTTTTGCTCCCGAACCTGGGAATTATTAGTGATAGTCTCTGACTAGAGATGAGCCTGTTGAGGAATGTCTGTTGATGAGATGCCATTGTGTACCCTTTTTCTGTTGTCCTAGGTTGGAACTCTGACTAATTAAACCTGTGACTAGTTATAGCCTAGTTCTTTCTCATGACTACTTTGACGTCCCTTTGGTCTTTTATGTACTTGTTTAGAATATTTTCCTTCTTTACCCATGTGTCTTATATGGTATTTTGCTTTTTCCACCAATGGCAATCCATCATGACTTCGGAAACTTCCTCAGAGAGTTATTGAGAAAATTAAATGATCTTCAAAAGATATAATGAATATGAAGATGGAAACTATAGAAACTACAATTGTAAGTTGTTGTTGATAGTGATAATAATGTATCTACTTTCTCTTTAGTGGTGTTGCTTTTTTGGTTTAATGGAGTTTAGAGTTTACATTTCTTGCTGCTTCCCCAGTGCCCCACCTCATAGGATCACACTTGTCTGATAAGTGTTCAGGTAAATCAAATGATGATGTTACAGGAGTTATAGATTTGACATTATGAATAGCTATTTCTTTCTTTCCTTTCTTATGAAAGAGTAAGTCACTGGTGATGAATATTATTATTTGCTCCTAAAGATAGAGATATATTTACTTTTATGTAAATTATCAAAAAGCTCTGGCTTTTTATTTTTATTGATTTTAGAGAGGAAGGGAGCAGGAGACAGAGATAAAAACATCAGTGATGAGAGAGTATTTTATGGGATGCCTCCTGCACACCCCCTACTGGGGATCCAGCCGTCAACCTAGGCATGTGCTCTGACCCTGACCGGGAATCATGCCATGATCTCCTGGTTCATATGTCGGTACTCAATCACTGAGCCACACCAGCCAGGCAGCCCTGACTTTTTAACATGCCTAAACTTTCTTCACTCTTTCCAACTAATCTTTGCTAACTTTGCATTTTAAAGATAGACTTTTATAAAATGCAAATTAACTTTGAATTGTGATGGGAGAATTTCTGTGTATGTGCATACATGTGTAAAATAACTCCTTTGCTTCTAAATATTTGTAAAAGCACTTATGATAGTCAAATTGGTGAAGAAAGAGGAACCCAAGCTTATTTCTTCATATGGAAAAAGTTTTATGTGATAGTTCCTTTACTGTCAGTTTTCCCACTATGATTCATTGTCATATTCTCAGACAGAGGGTGGAAAATGTGTTTTGTGTCCTTCATTTTAATTTATGAATTTCAACTTTAAAAAAATTAAAAATATATAGAATAGAATAGGTTGTACTTTTACAGTTATTCCTGGAATTATAAGTATCCCAAAGAATCTTTGGGACACAGGTTCAAAGGCTTTTAAATCAACAGTTATTTGCCATTCTGCAATCAATCACAAAATTTGGTAGGCCAGAATGATAGAGACTATGTGAGGTAAATTGTGCTGTGATCACCTCTTTCATTATATATTACTAGAGGCCCGATGCACAAAAATTTGTGCATGGGGGAGGGGGGGAAGCCCTCTGCCCGGCCTGTGCCCTCTCACAGTCTGGGACCCCTCGGGGGATGATGACCACTTGCTGGCTTAGGCCTGCTCCCCTGGGGATTGGGCCTAAGATGGCAATCAGACATCCCTCTGGCAGCCCGGCAGCCCTCGGGTGATGTCCACTTGCCAACGGGGAGCAGGTCTAAACTGCAGTCGGACATCCTTAGCGCTGCTGAGGAGGCAGGAGAGGCTCCCACCACCACTGCTGTACTGGCAGCCCTCAGCCTGGCTTGTGGCTGAGCAGAGCTCCCCATGTGAGAGCGCCCTGACCGCCAGAGGGCAGCTCCCGCATTGAGCGTCTGCCCCCTGGTGGTGTGTGTCATAGTGACCAGTCATTCCCAGTCTTTCTGCTGTTACGGTCAGTTTGCATATTACCCTTTTACTATATAGGATAGAGGCCTGGTGCATGGGTTGGGGCTGGCTGGTTTGCCCTGAAGGGTGTCCAGGATCAGGGTGGGGGTCCTGCTTGGGTGCATGGCCAGCCTGGATGAGGGGCTGATGGCTGTTTGCATGTGGTCGCACCCCCTTCAGGGTGAGGGTCCCCACTGGGGTGCCTGGCCAGTCTAGGTGAGAGGCTGAGGGCCGTTTTCAGGCTGGTGGGTGACTGAAGCTCCCAACCTCTTCTTTGTTTCTTGTTTTTCTTTTTATTCTGGGATTTATTTACTTTCTATGGCTGTCACTGGAGCCATAATTGAAACACTGTTGCCATCCTGCTCGCTCCAGCTCTGAGGCTGCAGCCGGCTGAAAGCAGGTATCTGGGGTTTGTTTAGCTTCTATAATTGAAACATAGTTGCTTTCGGAGCTGTTGCTTTCAGGCTCAGAGCCGGGCCGCGGAAGGCAGGGAACCTTGGCTTCCTCCATCACTGGAGCAAGCAAGCCTCCTGTTCGCATCAGCTGCGTGGCTACTGGCCGCCATCTTGGTTGGCAGTTAATTTGCATATTGCCCTGATTAGCCAATGGGAAGTGTATCGGAGGTACGGTTAATTACCCTATTTGTCTTTTATTAGATAGGATTGCTACTTCTTTGTTTCCTGCAGTATAGTATTATTCTTAACTACTGGTCAACCTGTGAAGTTGCTATACACAGTTTCATGAATATAGCAATGATTTGATTTGCATATTACAATAATTTTTTATGTTTGTGGGTAACTGTTGTTTTTCTAATTAGCAGTGAAAACATTTTGAATGAGATGCGGATTTGTTGGGAGCTCCATTTACTTTTATTTCAATGGTGCCTTCAAGACTTTTCGTAATTCATTTCTTAGTGAGT